TGATGATTGGTCAGCTTACTTGTGACCTGAATGATGATTGGTCAGCTTACTTGTGACCTGAATGATGATTGGTCAGCTTACTTGTGACCTGAATGGTGATTGGTCAGCTGACTTGTGACCTGAATGGTGATTGGTCAGCTTACTTATGACCTGAATGATGATTGGACTATGAGCTTATGACGTCATTGTTATATCTCAGTATCATTGTCATATAAAGTTTTAAGATAAGAGCTATAATATTTTGACGTGTACAATATGTAAATATGTTAGCGTCTTTACCATATATAATGCAGCTCATTATGACAGTTATTATTCATTTTCCTTTACCTGCTTGTATATTTTTTAATGCGATACACTTTCGTCCGTGTGTGGGTCATCCTGACTCGGTTTGACCCGGCAAAAGGGCGTATCAGTGCTACATAGGCTCTCGTCTCGTGCTGTGTGTATCTATTAGGAAAATAAGACACATTAATTTAATTGAGTGTACGGCCGCATTAATCAATAGTTGACTAATAACTAAGTTATTTCATCCAGTAGTTACGGGCTGACTGAAAGCTATGCGTGCTGCAATTTAAATATAGAACAGTAAAGTTGCAATTGTGTGGACTGGTGGCTATTAGAAAACATTACAGAAATTTTTACAGCCAGCTGAGGCTCGAACACGCAAATCACTGCACTAATCTCTCTGAGCCTAACCCCTCGGGTGCTCTTGAGATGGCATTTAAAAAATTAGATAGATTATATTGTGCTAATACTGATACACATTAATATATGGGCCGAACTGGCCGGGTCTCAGGATGGGCGGAAAGTGGCTCACTATTCGGAAAAAGTCTCTCACTCATTTTTATCAGTGTGATGTTAGAGACTTATTACTCGAGTGTTTCTGAATCCAAATTAATGAACAAAATCAACAAAGAATCAATATTTGCAGTTAAATTATCCATGCAGGGTCCCAAGAACTTTAATTTTGGTCGTTGTGTTTAATGTCGTGTGAGGTATTCACACAATCGACAGGGAGTTAATTAAAGAAATAATCAAGGAAGCTTTTATTTTTATTTATCAAACAAAATCTTGAGTTTGAGTTCGAATGATTTAGCTTCATAGTAATGAAGAATATATCTAGTCGATAAGAGCCGAATCCCAAAGTTCAGAATGCGGTATATAAGAGAAGTTGATGGTTGACAGAACACGTGACGAATGCGTGACGTAGATAAAACGTAAGGTCGGCCAGTTTCAGGATCGGGTTAATGTACACTGTAGAAGAAATAAATTAAAATTATAAATCTTGCAAAATGACGAGGTAGCAAATTGCAGCCAAAATAAATGATAAAAATGTCAATTTATTTGCACAGAAAAACCACAACAAACCTGAGGTTTAAATGCAAAGTGTGGTGATCACTTTTTGAAGGTAGAATAATGCAGGAAAAGAGCGGAAATCAGTTTAAGGGGTGGGAAGTTGGACGAGAAATATAGCTAGAACAGTAGAAGGTTCTGATGCTTGAGAAATTTGAGATAAAGACTTGAGACTAAGATTTAAACATTGATCTTTACAAGTGACGTCGTAATGAAACGCCCTGTTTGAGCAGACTACTAAAAATTTGAATAGCTTGATTTGATTTATAATAAATCTTGAATAAATTTACAAAATGTAAGTTTGAATTAGAATTAATTTGAATTGTAACACTTAAACTAAGTCCAACTTCCCAACAGATTGAATCAATGAATTTATTAGAGCAAAAAAAATAAACAAAACGAAATTCAAACGACTTTCACACAAACCAAGGGACAGAGAAACAGGTTCAAAGCAAGATGATAGAAATACTTGAACGTTGATGCTGGTAAGTTGATAATCATTCGGTTTATAATAGATCTCATAAACAAACCCTAGCATATATACTAATTAACGGTGGGAAATGAGGAATTTCTCACAGTCGCAAGGAAACCGTTCAAATAAACGGTACATTTTCCTATTATATAATCATGGAGAAGTCAAATACTTAAAAAGTTGTCACAATTCTTCAAGAATCATCTAGAATTTTTGTCATATAGATCGGATGTTGCCTTCATCATGATACTACATATAATAAATGTGTGATAACCTCAAACATGTCGTATACATTTACCGAAACGCCCCGGTCACATAAGTTTCTCGAACGTAATTTATGCTGTTACATATCGAAAACTGAGCTATCTGTTTTTAAAAAATTCCTCAAGCACTCTAAAACCTAGAGATTTACTTATCCAGAAAACCTAGGAGATATCTTGAGAGATAAAACCATTGTAGTTATTTTATTGAATATAGTCACTCAGTTAATTTTTATTATGAATATGCTTGGAAATTTTCGTAGCTCAAATTGTTAGTGTGTTATCAGTCAAAGTAATGAGGTACAGTCGATTTTGTTAGGTTTTATATTATACGGAATAATTCTCATTTGATTCATCTTCGGATTATCTCTTCATTGCCCAAATTATATGTTTATTATGTGCATTTCTATTATGTCTATTTATTAAAATTTTTTAAAAGGTAATTAACCTATTTCTTCAACGCCGACACTTCTATTCTATTCTATATCAAAATCGGTTTCCAGTTTTCCGCAGTTTAGGTTGCAGAACAACATCGCTCGTTCATCAAACGGAGAGAGTCAGCGGCGTTCATACGGTAAACACCTTACGATTGTGCTCTTTGATTACTAGAATTCCTCTGAGATTAACGTAAAATTTTCCTCCGTGATTAACGTAATACTCAAAATACCCACACATTTATCAACTTGATTTTGAATTCGCTTTTCTGTATACTACGGGTATACAAGTCAAGTGTCTAATTTAATTTTCAAGAACCCGGCTGGCTTTCTCGCCCCTCCCCCCTCGGCCCCTCCTCTTCTCTTCATGAGAAGAGGCAGTAGGTAGGACTGAGGAGTGAGCTAGTCAGCTAGAGTCTGGACTCTGTCACTCTGGAGACTTAGTTAGACGCTGACAGACTACAGCGTAATTTGCGTAAATAATGTTTATGTGTAATGTAATGTTTATAGCTACTTTTTGATTAAAATTGTATAGTATATACTGGTATATATATATATATATACCTGGTTTGCGGATTGCGACATCAAATTTTCGGTATTACTTTAGATTAAGTGCTTCCAAAAAAAGGGTGTTTTTTTCTTTAATTAGGGTAAACGCGGTATATTCCGACATCGTAGGTAATTCCGTCACCTCTCCAGCTTTTCCTTTATCTTAAGCTTTGTTTTAGTTCCATGCGTTCATTGATGCAGGCTGGAATATATCTGCTTGGTGAGCCGCGACTGAATTTTTTGAGCCGTGGTTTTCCCTGCGGGGGCTACATCCTGACGGGGGTCTCCAACCCGCCCGCCCTTGAGAACTACCGGCACCGCAACCTGCTGCAGCTCAGCGACGCCCTGCACGAGGTTCTCGAGCTGAACCAGTTCCGGCGGCTGGTTCGCCGGTACCCGCACGAGCCTGAACCATACCACGTGATCACCAACCAGCGCTACCATCCTGAACAATACCGGCGCCGGTTTACCTCCAGGTTAAGTAGTCCTGAACGCAGCGTCTACCTGCGGCGTGGTAACCGAATGATGTCGAAGTGCAGTCCGGGAACCCAGGGTGAGACTTCTGGGACCGGGACTGCGTCTACTGGGCCTGGGCCTGGGACTGCTGGGGCCGGAACTGGGACTGCGTCTGCTAGGATTGCGTCTGCTGGGACCGGGACTGCGGCTGCAAAAACCGGGACGACGAAGGCCAGCACTGGGACTTCGGCTTTTACTGGGACTTCGGCTGTAACTGGGACTTCGGCTAAGACTGGTACTTCGGCTGTGAGTGGGACTTCGGTTTTGTCTTGGACTTCAACCGGGACTGGGACACAGTGCCAACCATCAAGTTCAACCAATGGACGAAGCAACAGAACAAGCTTGGGTCTCTCGCCACTAAGCTCCCTGCGCAGTCTGCGCTACGCCACGAAGTGCTTCACGCGGCGCTGTGGCGTGAGTCTCGTCGAGTTCGAGACCAGCATTAAGCGTTTAATGTCCTGCAATGCTACCATAGCATCGGCTAACTTGTTCACTCCTTCACTAATATCCCTACTGAAGTATTTAGCTCTAAACTTACGAGCTCCATTTATCCAGAGCATTTCAAGCTCTCAGGAAGATTACCTCTGGATGTGTATGAACCACTACCTCAACCCTGACAATATGGCGACCGGGGTTTATTTCCGACCTGAGCTGTCGCATTTCTTGTCCGAAAAAGATTTTTTCCCGCCCGAGACCCGCATGGATCTGACCGCTGCTTGCCGGATGCATGGTGCCTACTCTGGGAACGTGTACCAGATAATAGGTACCATCTTGTACAAAACTGGTAGATTCGATAGGTTGAAGGCACTGAACCCGGATGGTCTTGTGTGGAGAGTGCTTCCTGATGTGGGAAACAGGTCCAGGCGAGGTGGGGGGCATGATGGTGGGGGTAATGCCCCCCTAACATCCCCATCTAATTCTTACCCTCGGACTCGCCCTCTGGGGAGACCCATCGTCGAATGTGACACCCAAAAGCGGGCGCTTCTACAGACCATGGAGGAGGACGCGGTGGCTAACGTCCTAGAGAGCGTGCCGTCCTGCCTCAACGCGGCGTTGTGGCCTCCCCAGGATTCCGAAGGACGTGACAAATGTCCTCAAGGAGTGCCACAGTGTGGTGCAACTGAGGCCACCCAAGACAATATCAAAATTTCAAATTCAGCGAACGGTTCCCGTTCTTCCGATTTCTTCGACGAAAACCTTGCGAAGAAACGAAGCCTGGAGGTTGCATGCCATGTGCTCAATGGTCGAGCTGCCTTCTGCAAGGTGGCGATGGCACTGAGGGACATCGAAGTTTGTCTTGGCATCGCTTTTAATAATAATCCTTCAGGTGCCAGTCTTTCAGACTTCATGGCGCTGCGGAAGGCGGGGTTTGGTGACAAACCTTCCATATTTGAGGGCTCCCCAACTGCCCTCGATGACCCGCCCTTGCACCAATACCTGTGGGGGTGTTTCACGGGGACCTTTAATTCCACGTCCTGTAAAGAAAAGGCTGCTGAAATCGCAATGCGGGCTACGTCCAACTTCCTACCAACCTTTGTTGATGATGAAATGCGCCAGGGACTTGGCTTCTATGATGATATAATGGGTCGGGACCTAGTAGCACCCCAGAACTATCATCCAGAACCATTCTTTCGGTATCTCCCAGAACCCCTCTTGAGGGGTTATGCAGAACCCCTCTTGAGGGTTCATCCCGAACCCCCCTTGAGGGGTTTTCCTGAGCCCCCCTCAGTATCCACGGTGACAAGCCGACTTGACATGGCGTCGGGTCAATGGGTCCAACTCCACTCTTCAAATCCCAGAAATTCGATGCAATTTCCAGATGTCCGCAGATATCCAGAAATGGCACAGTCCAACCCCTGCACCGATCCAGCTCCGAATTTGCAGCAGATTTGTTCGCGTTTCGTTGATGTTGTGCCTGTGGAATACGTAAAAAATGTCCCTGAATCTTCTGATATTGAAATGGTAGTGCATCAGGATGACTCGGATTCGAGCTACGATGACGACGAGGATTACGATGCGAAGGCATGGTATCAGGAAATATTCGAGGGAGCTGATTCTGACGATGAAACATCGTTATGGTTACCTCAGAGTGAAGATTATGTCAGGGAAATTATCCCATTACCGTTGAATAGCGTACTGGATGATATACATGAGGAAGATGAGTGCGAGTCCGACCTGTCTCCACTAGAGGAAGAGGAAAACATGTCCGAAATGTGTCCTGGTGGTAATGGAGGTGTGGGAGGTGGTGCTTCACTATTACCTGAAGATACTGGTATGTGTCTTGGTGGTAATGACGCTGCGGGAGGTGGTGCTTCACTATTACCTTCGCCCGATCCTAGTCTACCAAACGGAGATGCGACAGAACCTGTAGTTGACACCGACTTGTTTGTCTCCGAGAAACCTGCCACCAGTTACTTAGGTCGACGTTACAGGTTGGCAAGGGACCTGTTTGCCCACAGAATCAAGTCACTGACTCAAGTTTTGTGCGGGTACGACACAAGTGAAGAGGTTGCCGCGGAGTTCGATGTCGAAATGTTCTGGTTTGAGCAAACGGAACCTGACAAGAATTTCACGTGGGACGAAAACGATAGCAGTACTTGGGGTAGTTATACAACAGGTAGTAAACGTAGTGCAAGTAGCACTCTAGGTCGAGTAGGTGGAAGCTCGCATCGAGTAGGAACTGATAGTTTAAATACAAATAAACAAAAATCTGCATCAACCGAACCTGTTGGCAAGTCTGGGCCAAATCTTGAAAGTCTGTCGCAGCGTGAAAAGTTGTCGGCCCAGTTCTCATCTTGCAACGAGACCGGTAAACGTGAAATGATATCTAAAATTCTCTCTTCAGAACCTGTTTTCCACTCTCTTTTTCACGAAGCTCTTCAACAAGACACAAATACGGACGAAAACCTCTTCACTCACGCTGAACAGAAAATAAATAGAGAAAGCTGTACTATTGCAAGTGATTTTTATCAGGGACATTTGCGCGGTATACATGAAAGCATGTTGCTTGCATTGCAGGAATTGTCTGATGATGAATTGCTGTCACCGGAACCTATACAATTGCCTGAGTTTGACTACCTAAAGACTGATGACTTCCCTACTAGTGAAAGCGAGGTGCTAGGTACTAGTTACTACTCTGACCTGGTGCTAGTGCTACGCAACTACCACTCCTACTTCGGGGTGCTGTCTCATCGCCTCGCTCAGAACATCGCTAAAAGTATGTATGAAATTCAGAAAAAGATTTTCCATATTTTGGAGTGGGACAGTTTTGTCCTAGTGTGTCTCGGGGACCCTTTGTCTGTCTTATCTTGGCTGGGGGCGGACCCTGAGGAGTGGTCATTAATCCCTGAGGAATCTCATTTGCCTGAATTCCGGTATCCGGCATTTTTGGAACTAGAAAACCGAGAAAACGTTTTTTCTTGGACGAGTTTGTTGTCTGGTTCGATGTTGAAGGCCTTTGAGAACTGGACCAGCGTTTGGCCGTGTGGGATCATCACTCGGTGTTTTTTCGACCAGGACTTTGTCCTCCTTTGCGTGGATGAGTTCAACAAAGGTGTTTTGGACCACTTCGGGTTAGGGTTCGCGGAAGAATACCTCTTCTCATTGATGGAGTTCCTTGGCAGTACGTACGCTGTGTACCAAATCATGATTCATCTCTTGAATCCCAAAGAAAATTTCTTAAGTGTTCCCATGACCGAAGCGTTTTCAAAGACTCCTTCATTTCACTTGGGATACTACGGCTTTATTAAAGCTCATCTAGACCACAAGAAAGGTCTTCGCGCCCGGGATATGCATGGGTCTGACCCTATGGAAACTGGGACCCTTCCTCTAGACCACAGAAAAGGTCTTCGCGCCCGGGAAATTCACGGGTCTGACCCTACGGAAACTGAAACCCTGGGTCTAAACCCCAGGAAATGTGTTCGCGGCTCGGAAATTCACGGGTCTGACCCTATGGGAACTGGGACCCTGGGTCTAGACGAAGATATGTACGGGGACCAAAGCTCGGTCTGCAGGGCCCATGCAGACGCCCTTGCGTACCTGACGGGGACCAGGGTTAGTCTGCCGCTGCTGCAGTCTGTGCTGCAGGAGCTGGCAGACTACGCGGCGCTGGTGCACGCGTGGAGCGTCGTGCAGCAGGTCGTGGCCCAGGCCCGCTGCCCGCACCTGCTCGTGTATGAGGACTCCAACGTCGCTAAGGTATTGTCTTGTTAATTTTATTAATATGCTTAATATTATTATTATTTCTATTATTAATATTATTTTATGTTGGTGCAACTCCAACGTTGCTAAGGTATTGTGTTATTGATATTTTTATTGCTAATATTATTATTATTTAATGCTGACCAGTGCAACTTCCCCGTCTCTTAGGTATTGTATTATTGCTGTTATTATAATTAATATTATTATTAGTATTAATATTTTATGCTGGTGCAAGTCAAACGTCGCTAAGGTATTGTGCTGTTGATGTTATAAATTATAACTATTACTGTTATTATTAGTGTTTGTGCTGGTGCAACTCCAACGTCGCCAAGGTGTTGTATTGTATTATTATTATTGTTATTGAAATTATTATTATTAATATTGTTTTATGTTGGTGCAACTCCAATGTTGGTAAGGTATTGCATTATTGCTATTATTATTAATATTATTATTATTATTATTATTGTTTTATGCAACTGAAACTCCAACGTCACAAAGGTGCACTATTGTATTGTTGATATTTTTATTGTTATTTTATGGTAGCTGTTATCCAAAATGATGGTTTTATTTTTAGATATTTTTATTTTATACAATTGACAATATTCAGTGTTTTCACGTTGCCACATGTACAAGCAAGATGCCACGTTGCCACATGCCCAAGCAAAATGCCATGTTGCCACATGCCCAAGCAAAATGCCACGTTGCCACATGTACAAGCAAGAATGCCACGTTGCCACATGTACCACCTAGAATGCCACTTTGCCACATGTACAAGCAAGAATGCCACGTTTCCAAATATACGACCAAGAATGCCATGTTGCCACATCATCAAGCAATATGCCATGGTGCCACATGTACAAGTAATAATGCCCCGTTGCCATATGTACAAGTAAGAGTGCCACATTGCCAAATGTACACGCAAAATGCCACGTTGCCACATGTACAAGCAAGAATGCCACGGTGCCACATGTACACGCAAAATGCCACGGTGCCACATGTATAAGCAAAATGCCACGTGCCACATGTACGACAAATAATGCCACGTTGCCACATGTACAAGCAAGAATGCCACGTTGCTACATGTACAAGCAAGAATGCCACGGTGCCACATGTACGACCAAGAATGCCACGTTGCCACATGTACAAGAAAGAATGCCACGTTGCCACATGTACAAGCAAAATATGCCACGTTGCCACATGTACAAGCAAGAATGCCGCGTTGCCAAATGTACAAACAAGAATGCCACGTTGCCACATGTACAAACAAGAATGCCACGTTGCCACATGTACAAGCAAGAATGCCACGTTGCCAAATCACTCATAACATTTCTACTTGTATCAAAAATTTTATTCAACATCAGATCTGCGGTGACTTCAACGGGTGCCTCGACCTGAACCGGATGCCGGAGCTGAACCTGAGCCCGCCGGTTCACCGGAACCCGGAGGTTCAGCTGAGACCGGGTGTTCAAGTGAACCAGAGGGTTCACCTGAACCCGGAGGTTCGTATGAACCAAGCCCTGTGTGAGCTGCTGGTGTATAGACCAGTCCCCCCTGCTAGGGGTTGTTTCGACCCCCCAGCTAGGGGGTGTTTCGACCCCCCTGCTAGGGTTTTGTCCCGCTGGGTCCCTGTCCCTCCCCAGTACAGCATCACGGACAAGGATTACTTCCCACTGTGGTATCATTACCAGGTAACTACCATTTCTCGATGTCGCTGGCGGGCGACGAAGGTGCCCATGCTGCAAGCACCACCTCTGAATACTTCCTACTTTGGGGGATCTTGTGGTCTTCAGGCGGGAGGGTTGGGGTGTGCTGCGGTTTGGGAGGGGTTAGGGTTGGTGCACTCAGGGGTTGGGGAATGGGGGTGTGGGATGAAGTGGGAATGAAGGGCAGGGGGTTGTTAGGAGGGGTTGGGGGTTAACTGGAAGGGGTGTGTAATGGGGGTAGGGGTGGGGAGAAGTGTGGCCGGTTGGGGAGGTGGGGTTTAATTGCTCGTTTAATGATATTGAATTATTCATGAATACACTTGTATTTTATAATATTAATAATGAATGATAATAAATTACCTATATTAACAACATACTTGATAATTAACCCTCCCCCCCAGACGGTCGAACCTGTCGTGTGTGTGGCGGCGTCTGAACCCCCGCGTGTACGGCCCCCTGCACCCCCTCCTGCACCCCCTCC